ATATATATATTATATTGTAATTATATATATATAATATTATAGTATAATATAATATAGTCGTAATTTTTAACTATCAACAGCAATTTGACCTCATAATTTATCAAATGCTATTACACTGATTTTAGAACTAGCATAGCTACTATAATTATAGTTTACTAAACACTTAGCTGCTTTTTATAACAGTTACTTTTTCCTTCAGCACAGCTAAAAATAATTTTTTTAAAATCTACAACATTGCCAAACTAAGCCTAAGAATGAGTAATGACAATTAAAAGGGGAAGAATTTCAACATTAATATTGGACATGCTATATGGCTAAGCTTGCAACTATATCTTGGTAAGTTATAAAACTTAACAAAAATATTCAATATTTGAAAAATTATAACTCGATTATTAAATGATGTACTTAAAATTGTAATCGGTAAACCATGGTTCATATACTTAAGGGAAAAAAAAAATAAACAGCCTCTTTTTGACAAATCAAAAGGAAGAGGATAAGTATATTCAAGTACTAATCAACAAAAAGTGAAATGAATGTTAGGTTTTTCTCAAGCTGCTGAAGGAAAGCATCATACGTAAGAACAAAAAACCAAAAGATAAAGTGAGACCTAACAAAGCTGCTCGTATTGTAATTTTTTTTTTCGTTAGAGAGAGAGAGAAAAAAAAAACATTAAAAAAATAAATTGCCGAATGGACAACTGGTATGATCAAGGTAGAAATTCACATCTCAACTAAGCAGGCAAAAGAATAACCACTCATCAAGTACGTCATCCCACACTAATCTTGTCATTCTTTTTATGAATAACAGAAGAAAAAAAAATACAAAACTTGCCTGCAAAGAAAAAAAAAAAAAAAGAGAAATTAAAAATACAATCCACAAAGGAAAAAAAAAAAAAAACTAAAAAAAAATGCATAGCCGAAAGTCCTTCTAGTGGGTAGAGCCATAACTCACACCGTAGAAGAGGACTAGAAAAAGAAAAATAATAATAATAAAGAACTTACTTTTCTACCATGTGATAAATAAGTACACTTGAAACATTTCATTGTCGATAGTTTTTTTTATGTAATTTACAGCTAGCCAGCCTATGTTAGTATGCAGCTTGCGCATTACCCCTTGTGTTTGGAAAGAGGCCACGATGATTGCTTTTCAAGCTCCATTTGGATTAAAGCCTATTTTCTCGCTCCAATTGTATATTTTAAAACTTATAATAACAAATCAAAAGGAAGAGAAAAAAAGTGTATTCAAGTACTAATCATCAAGCTCAGTTAAAAGAAAAGCCTACATATATAAGTTTTTCCTTCTTTTTTGTGTTTTTAACTCTTTGTTTTGTAGGGATATATATACAAATATATATATATATATATATATATATATATATCCCACTTGCCTTTTTCTCTGCTCGGAATAAAAAAAAATGCAATCGAAAGCGAAGCCTTGCAAAACACATAATTTTGTTTTACAATCTGATTAAGGAAAGAACAAAGTTACAGAACTATATGCACATTCAATTCATATGACTGATGATCACAAAAAGTTTTTCAAAATCTGTCGTATGCACAGTGGACTTGTCTGTCATGATGAGAAAAAGCAGCGTTAATATGTTTGAGTGGGTGGAAAAGCAGACATGCGACGTAAGAGAGGCATCTTGTTTTTGCGAGGTTGGAAGCAGATATACTCAAAGTTAGTGTTCCACTTTACAGCGACACTCGTCTCTTTATCCGGTTCATGCATGCATGTTTTAAACACGCACACACCTGATAAACCCACTGTTTCAAAGCAGTGTGATTTATGGGCCACGAACGGAACGGCCCATTTATCTCTTGCTGGGCCGCACGATTGTTGGGTTGGGTGCGGTCCTTCCCACGTGGGGGAGAGAAAGAGAGAGAATAGAGGGGGTGGCATAGGTTAAAAAAGGCACTTAGCGTTTTTTATTTTACCGATTTAAATTTTTAATTTAAGTTTTTATAGTTAAAAACTTTTTTTTTACTATAATTAAAAACTCTTAAAAAATGTTACATCTTAACTCGAATTGAAAACTAAAATTTACGAAACGAATGATGATTCATTACGAGTTAGGATGACTCAAAATTATCAGAGTGTGGGCTCTACATGGTGGGACCCACGCTTTGATGGTTGACGGTCTAATGTTATATCTCTACCAGTTTGGATGGTTGTTTTCTCTCCCCCAAGCATTATTAGTAATTTTAAACAGACCGAAACTTTGAGTTTGATAAATTATGTTTGTTGAAATCACCTTTTGGCAAGTTGTTGATGATTTTTAACCTCTAAATTTGTTGCTAGAGAAGAGCTTGATGTCCCTATTAATTTTACTTGTAGAAGTTTTGAGTCAAAAATTTAATATCTTGTTTGGATTACATTGATTTATTTTGCATATTTACTTGACTTAATACTGTTTGGTTTCCACAAAGCATGAAAATGAATTTTATTTATTCCACCAACTTATTTTTCAATCTTAAATTTTTCTGGAATTATTGGCTTTATTAAGCCACCAAATACCATATCGTCTCTTCCAGCCAAAAAAAAAAAAAAAAAAAAAAAAAAAAAAAACCAAAATACAGCCAGGTCAAAAAAAAAAAAAAAAAAAACACCATATCGTCTCAGGTCATATGGCTCCCATCTTAGTGTGTGTGTGTGAAGGGATTGAGCCTATGGTTCTGCCTCTAAAAAGGGGATTTTAAGCAAATATCACATTCCCATCCACTGGAATTGATATTTGCCATACTAGATTTTTTTTTTTCCCCTTTGCAAAAAAAGCGACCGTACTAAAACTGAAATACCTAATGCTTATTTATTTCTTTATTTTGATATGTTAATTAATGAAATACAAGTAACACAAAAGTATGTACGGACACAAACACCAAGACACCTTTAAATCTCGATCTCGAACATAATTATAAGTTCCTCAAACACGTAGAATAAGTACCATCACAAAGTACCATGACAATCAGAACATATATAAGTAAATTAACTAGAGTCTTGGTGGTTCTTACTCACTAGACTACTCTTAACAACCTTTATTTTCACGTGAATTAGATTTTCCAATATATTTCCAGCGACATCAAATATTCGTTCTCAACATATTTGATCAAACTTGAGGCCATGGCACAGCAACGACCTTCATGAGCCCGTCATTGCAGTGGTAGCCGTCATCGCCGTAGCTGGCAAAGTAATAAGGTCTCCAGTTGCTCAGCTCAACCTGAAAGCCGTCACCCGCTCCTTCCGTCGCGTTGGCCAGAAGCTCCGCTCCGGTGAAGTTGCATGCTATGTAGCTGTCGAGAGTTGGCAGCAGGTAAATGCTGTAAGCATACTCCGGGTCTTTTGGAGGATCATACTTGAACACTGCAACAGAATTTTTATACAAGAGAGAAAAAAGTCATAATAAGATCATACTAGATTTTTAATTTTATGACTTTGTTGTAGCACTTACAAATTATACTTAGGAATGAAATTGTGTATCACAACTTCGACTCAAGTAAAATTTCACAACAGTGTACCATTGTAGTAACATTATTCAATATCAAGTATCACCTACTTACTTCTTAATCAATTACCAATTTTTATGTCAACTATGAGACTCACATGTATTATGACTTGTTTGGTTCATCAACTTTATTAGGTATATTTATTAGTTGGTAATTTATTGACAATCTTGTAAAAATTCAAAAAACAGGTTTAAGAAGATTTCGTATTGCAGAAGAATATTCGAAATCAGATTTGAAGTTAAAGTTGCAGATTTTGTTGAGTTGAGATTTGAATAGATAATAATACAGGCTTGGCCAAAGAAAGATAAGGCATTGGTTGAGATTTAGAAAGATAATGATAAGACCCTGGCCAAAGGAAGATAAGACATTGGTTATTTGAATTTAAATGGGCATTAACGTGAAGCTGCCTAAGAGAATACTGCATGTAATAAAAATATTTGAATCGTGATTCAAACTACAAACTAAACATGTGCTTGCTTATTACACAAATCCACATGGTTTTATTATATGGTAATTTCTAAATGGTTGATAAAGAAATTAATAAACATCATGAAATAGATAAGTAAAATTATAAGACTAACCAAGTTTGTCATTGATATAGAAGGGGCTGTTTTGGATAGACCAGTCAGTGTAGTTAAAGCCGAAACGCCAACCTTCGGAGCCTCCAACAACAATGGTTCTCTCCTGACAGATTCCCAACGTCACAGAGGCAGTTAGTACAAGAAGTAGTAGAAACCCTTTTTCAGCGTAACTCAAAGCCATGATAACAAGTGAGATATGATGTTTGAGGTGTGAGGAATCAACTAGCTGGTGGGCTTTATATAGGGGATTCTTAGCCTGACCTTTCGCTTTGCTTGATCTTAAGTGGTTGGTAAACATTAATTCTATTTTCTACATTCTTTTTTTTTTTTTTTTTTTTTTTTTGGGGGGGGGGTTGGTCAATTATACTTTTTTTTGTTGGTCAATTATACTTTATTTTGAATTATGTAGGGATTTACATGTAGAATTTGTTGTGTTTTGTGTTTGGTCATTACTTGTTAGGCGGGAGACATGATCCTTTATTGGCATATACGTACGTGAGGGACACAAGCTTCTAGTAAGGAGTTGAAGAGCGCCTTGGTCAAATTTATTTGGTTAATCTCCAATTAGGGCGATGAAATTGCATGCGATGGCTATGATTACAATGCATTAAGGTCATTCTTGACAACTGAATGTGGGTTTGGTTGGAAATATAGAAAGAGAAAACATTAATTTGTCAAATCTAGGTATTTCTCCACACTCGTATAGTAGGCTGGACCATAAGTCAACCTGCCGAGCAAGTATTGTGTCATTGGGCCTAAGAGCCTTCCAAAGCCCAACAAAAACTAATAGTGTTTTAAAATAGTAACGTTGAAATATGAGAAAAATACTGAGAAAATTTCAAGTTTATCCATTATTTTTTTTTTTGTTTAACTCTATTATTTATGTTACTATATAAAGTTTTCATGCCATTATGAAAAATAACCTGTAAATTATGAAAGATAACTTACAAATTATTAGTGGCATTAGATAAATTTAACAAAGTGTCACTTGATGATATTTTCGAAAATTCTGCATATATTAAAGGTTATTTGTCTCCATATGGTGCTTAATAAGTTGTAAATCCAAGTACAGAAAACAAATATAGTTTAAGCTAATTAAAATTAAAACAGTTTTAAGAGAGCCTTTCTATAACTAATCAAATTGGGCATTATAATTGGAATCAAATTGGGCATTATAATTGGAAGTCGCTCTTGAGGGTTGAGAGAATTTGTTACTTATCAGCTATACATATTTAAACATCTAGCTATGACAATCATATTTTCACCATTAATTGATTCTTCAGTATTTACTTTATCTGATAATCAGAAATAATTTTGTTGGTGATCTATGTTAATAATCGTTTGAACGATGATAGATTAATCTATTGGCATTTTTAATTTTTATTAACAAAAAGAAAAGTCTTTCTCAATAGACTCAACTTAAATCATTAATATATAGTGTGTGTATTTGTACATATGTACGTATACGTACCGTATGTATGTATCTCATCAATTACCAAAGCTATAGAGAGACATCCTATATATATGGTAGAAACCGGCACAACCAATATTTGCTTGTTATCACAACTTCAGAAGGCATTTAAACAATGAAATAAGTGGAATTCACTACTATGACCCTGTGACAATATGCTAGTATTTCTTAGCATTTTATATCCTGTCTAGATAATACATAAATCATTTGGAATTATATATAAGCAAATTGTATCATTTCAACTAATCAGAAGATGCTGTTTCCCCGTGCATGTAATGCCTCTTTCCATCAAATTAATATAGATGAGTTACTAAAAAATATTTCAGTACTATATATGGTTTGCATATTTTATTTTCTTAGGAACAAGATCAAATTAAATGAGATTCTCGAACTTGATCGTTTGTTTCTTGATTTTTTGGATTACTTTAACGAAACAACAAAGATGACAGTTGAAGCAGGAAAAAAAACAAAAAAACAAAAACTAAAACTTCCAATGAAATGAAGTATTTCATTATCACTTCATGATACAAACAAAATCATACTATAATTAATTAATTATATAAAAACTAATACCACGCACAGAAACTGTGAATCCTAACGAGGGTTTACAATTTATTGGCTATAGCGCTTATACATCTATTCAGTAATTCTAACAAATTAAAGAGATTAATATATAGGCATGAATGAGCCTAAATCTTCGTCCGTCGCTATATATGTAGCTCCTAATCTAATTCTCTTTAAAGGCTTAAACGTGTGGCCATGGCACGGCAAAGAACTTCATGAGCCATGTCCGCCGCCTTGCCTCGGATCCGCCAATAACTGCTTCGCCTTGTTGAAGTCGCACGTTAAGTAGCTATAGATGTGGTAAACTGTGGCTGCGCTTCTTGGCGGATTGTACTTGAACACTGAAATATAGTTATAGCCAAACCAAGTTAGCAAAGCCTATATATATATATATATATTGTAAAATAATCATGGTTTTTAATTTGGTCACAACAATTGATTGGTTCATAAAATGAAAAAATTCTCTGTATTCCGATTAGCATCATAAAATCGCGACTGAGGTATAGAAAGTTAGCACGTTATGTTATCAAACGGCTGCTAAGATTAATTGAGAGGACATTTTTGAAGGTTTTACTATTAGCAATGCTATCATACAAAATAACGCCAATTTGTAAATAGGAGATGAAAAATATTCGGCATATGGTAGCTAGGATACTATTTTTTGATCAATCAGATTTTCATTGGTTTTTATCAGTTTTACATATATTTTATTGTTGATATAATTTTAACCAAATCTAATAATCAGAAATACCATACAACTGATAAAGTAAATACCATATACTATAGAAAACTCGGATAACAATATTATAAAATAAAAGTTGTTTCAATTCAAATAATAGTAGCACTTACCCCAGTCTGTCCTTGAAGTAAAAGGGGCTGGTTTGGATGGCCCAATCGGTGCAGTTGAAGCCGTAATGTCACCCTTGAGAGCCTCCAATGACAATGGTTCTTGCTTGATCATGACACACTTCCAAAAGAGAGGCAGTGAGAAGGAGAAGACACCCTTTTGCTCTAAAGCTCAGACTCATCTTGCTAGCTAACCTGTTGCAGACAATTATTAGAGAGAGAGAGAGAGAGAGAGAGAGAGAGAGAGAGAGAGAGAGAGAGAGCCGTGTGATGCTATAGATCACGAGCAAGTACCAAAGGGGGTAGAGAATTGAATAATGGTCATACATGGTACACGAAAGCTGGCCAGATCATTTTTTTTTTCCCTATCTTGTATTTGGTTGGTAATTATTTTCATTAGAAAAATATTTAAGGACATATGGGTGATATAAGCATTATCATTAATACAAGGTTCATTGGTTGCACTTGTGAGCCTCATACTATAAGATTCATTTTTTATTAGTGGGTAGCGTTCAACACTATCAATATCATATAACATTATTCTTTTCATTAACATTTCTCCTCCGTAATTTAATGTAGTCTTGGCTTGATTTTATATATTCTTTTCTCATTGACTATTACTTAATTGCCATGACCCAAAGTATGTGTAAAGTATAATAGTGGTCAATATTGGGGGAATAACGAGTAAATATTGTTCGTTAGGAATTTGGTCATTATCCATAGGAAAGAAGAATTTGTAGCCAATATTCATGATTGCTGAGGCATTAAAGTAACCAAGGTTCATTTTTAACAGCGTGGTTGACTCTACTATATTTTACCACGTATTGATAATGGTTAAGTAATGTTGGAATTTTCACATCTTCTGTCTAGCTAAGAAATCAAATAGTTGATTATGTGGGCAGTACTAGCTAAGAACACAGTTTGAAAGGTTGTGACTGAATTAGAAAATTAATTCAGGGACGGAACTAGAAAACTTAATCAGGTGAGGCAAGAGCGTGACTGAATTAATAAGGCGGGACAAATAATGAGCTTAATAAGGCGGGACAAATATGGAAATTTGATGGCAATTTAAAAATTGCATTACTATTAAATTACAATTATGTCACTTAATTAGGCCCCATCAAGGAGCTTCTCTCCAGTAATAAACTACTATAAATCTAGAGGAATGCATAAGATTCTGCCTCTATTGTCTCTTTTCATATACTAATTAAAAAAGAAAGAACTTAAAAAAATATCCACAAATTAAAGGGGTGTGTTAAGAGGGTGGGTTGGTCACATTCCTTTTCTCAATCATTATTTGAATCTCTTTTCCATTAAAAAAAAGATTCTCTATCATAATTATCAAATATTATTATATAAGCTGTATTATCACAGTGCCCTTTTAATTTTCAAACAACATATAACTTTCCCTCCCAAAACAATAATCCGGGTCTCTTATTTCCACTCTTAAAGCTGGAGAGACATGATGAAAGTAGCAGCCACCAATATGAATATGACCTCCACTTGACATAACCGTTGTGCAACGGATTTCATACCCGCCAACCAAAATTTAAAACATCTGAAAAAGAAAAAGGCCACAAAATAAAGCAAAATCCCACCATCCCACGCACAACTTTTTCCCTTCTTACTATTTAATTCTCCTCCTTTTCTGTTCCACAATATTAATCTTACCCACTTTCCCATTTGCCTCTCCAATCTAGACCAAAAAGAAAAAAAAATTCATCAAATGGGTTCTTGCATTAGCAAATGCAGACCCAAGAAATCATCACATAATTCCCAAGAAGAAGAAGATGAAACTCAATTCAGCTATGTCCAAGATAAGCTTGTAATAATCTCACAACCACCACCAAAAATGCAAATCCCTCCGAAACCAAAACAAATCTCATCCCCGTCCCCTCCGACGTCGCCCTCCGCCTCGACTTCCTCCGCCGCCTCCTCCTTCACTTGCTCCTCCACCAACACCGCAACAAGCCGCTCGATTAGCTCCTCCTCCTCCTCCTCCTCCGCGTTGTCGAAAGGATGTTACAGATCATCATCCTTCTCCAACGAGTTCTTGTGGTCATGTTACAAGGAAAACCCCCACATTATTCGCATAAGTTCAATCAAAGAAAATAGTGTAAATTCTAATACACCAACTGTCAAGCCAGTTGTTTCAACTAGTACACCAAAGAAAAGACTTCGGTCAAGCTCGCCAAGTAGTATTAATACTACTACAACTCTAACGAGACAAAAGAGCTTTCGGAGAGATCATCACAATTGCGGAACACTAATGAGATCATCATCGCCTTCTCCGAGTCGAAGATTTGTCAATGGAGATCTTACCAACTTACAGAAAATTAAAGAGTCTCAGAGACACTCAAAGCGTGTGGTAAGTACAAATTCTACGTCGTTTTCAAGGACGGACAATATTATTAAATTTATTCCTCCAAGTCCAAACAACAACAACAATAATTCTAGTACTGATAATACTCGGCTAATTAGGCCCTGTTTGAGGAGTACTAGTGGTAGAAGTACTAGGGAGCCGGAGCAATATTTTACAAGTAATGTTGATCGGATTGGTTCGAAAATCGACGGGATTGCGATCGAGGAAGCACTTGCTGATCAGCATGAACTCGTCGACTCTGTTTTGATGGAGGACATTGATAACCCTCTAATCTCCTTGGACTGTTTCATTTTTGTTTAGAGAGATGTGTGGTTTGATTGATTCATTTAGGCATTTTAATTTGAGAATTTTATACGATTTTTCTTTTCCTTAGTTTTTTTCTCATTCATTAATTTGTTTGAAAATGGTACCCTCATTTGGATCTCCTGTATATTATGGTGTATTTACTTCTCTAAATATATCAAGCTTGAAGGAACTGATTATGGATTGTTAAAATGGATTTGTGGCGTGAAGTTAGCAATATCTGAGATTATTTTTAATGTAAATGTCAATTGAATTCTATATTTGATAAGAATGGTAATATACCATTATATTAAATATATATATATATAATATGTTATTTTATATTATTCATGTAGCTCTCGTAGTCCTAGATTTATGTTGGTGCAGTTATTAGTATCGTCTGCTCTTTGGTCTTTATTATTACATTCTATGCAGCTAGCTGATTCTCTTCATTTACATGTAATTGGAAATTCGGAATTCATGCATGTGTCTACCTCTCATCCGTTAATGCGAAATTTGCCGAGGTACTATTTTATGTTCCTTTATTTTTCCAGCAAAAAGTTATTTAAAAAGAAAAAAAAACAACCAATATTGTTTTCTGTTATCTTTAAGGTTCTATGTTCGGCCCGTGCTAGCTATATATTTGTTCTGCAACGCGCTTTGCTTGTGTTAAAGATGCATATTTCAAAGAGAGCTTCTTAGAAGCCCTTTTTCCTCCATGAAATCAAAAGCTGCTTCTTTAAGTGCTTTAATGCTGAAGTGTTTCGACTCTTCGAGAAAGAGTAAAAACAAAAGCTGCTTTTTTAAGTGCTTTAATGCTGAAGTGTTTCGGCTCTTCGAGAGAAAACTATAAAATTATATGACTTCTAAAAAATCCATTTTAACTCATTTAAGTTCTTTGTTTGACCCGCGTGCCAGCTATTAATACTACAATGCGACTTAATTTGTTGGTGTTAAAGATACACAATGCCGGTAACGTATAATACTTGAATAGTATATAAATACGCAATGCATAATTGAGCTGGCATTAGTATTGATGAAGAAATATATATATATATATATATATAGGTCAATCATACGTACATGGGAATAAGCATTACACTCTTTGACGTTACATTAGAATGACAAATGTATTTGTGGTAGAACTTTTCAATGCCACTTATCTCATCTCAACATTTCCTTTAAAGAAAAAAAATTACCAATATATTAAACAACAGTATTAAGAGGAATCCTTAGGGTTATTAATAAGTTTTGAGTAGAGAATATAATACGGAACGAGATAGTTAGGTTTATCTAGTTGGAATGTTTTTTCTATTTTTGTTTCTCTTTCGTCATTTATTCCAAGTTAAGGGCGGACCAACAAATCCCAAATCAACTAGCAAACAATTATCTAGGGTCTCTCGGAACCTAGTCATACTAGAATATCCACGATCGTTACCTCCTTTTTCCGAGAATAAAAGGATTTTATTAAAATCCCCCGTATAAAGCCAAGGCAAGGTAAACAAATCCCTTAAGGTACGTTTGGTTACAATGAGAGAATGAGAATGATAATGATAATGGGAATGGAATGAAAAAGAAAGTTGATTCATTTATTTAGTTGTAATTTTAAGCTCTAGAATGAAACATGAATATTTTCATGCTGACAAACTTACCCTTATGCTATATATAACATTAATATTTTATCTATCAATATAATATATAAAATGTAATATAATATAATAAAATTATTATTATATAATATATTATATAATTATGATATATAACATAACAATATTTTTAAAATTGTTAATATAATTATAATATTATAATATATAAAATGTAATACAATATAATATAATTATCATTATATAATATATTATATAATTATGATATATAATATAATAATATTATTAATATTATTAATATTATTATAATATTATAAAATATATTATAAGATTATATAATAAACAATAATAATTCAATTATAATATAATTAAAAATTACAACTATATTATATTATATTGTAATATATATATATAATTACAATATAATAATATATTATTATTATATTATATACAATAAATATATTATAATTAATACATCATGTAGTTGTGTCTAATGCACTATAACGGATAATAATATTAGAATTATAAGATTATAATAATATTTAATTATATTAATTATTATTGAAGGGTAATTATGGAAAAAAATAAAAAAAAAACTTAGAATGACTATTTCTCCCATATGAGGAAGGAATGATGATTCACCAAAAATGGGTGAATGATCATTCCTTTCTTATAAATCCAACCAAACATCAAATTAGAATTCCATTTCATTCTATTCCATTTCTTTCGACCCAACCAAACACACCCTTAGGCTTTCAAGCAATGTCCAGGAGTGGTGCCTCTCATTCCTGGCCGGATTACCATAGAAGCCCGTAAAACGCCAATCCCCACTTAGGCCACCACAAATGAAGCAATCAATATGAAACCTTGAGAAGCTCTAGATCTGGACATTCCAATCCACCACTCGGATCCATGCAATCCACGTAAAAACCACACTCAAAACACAACCCTCTCTTAACCCTCTTCGCTGCCACAGAACATAACTAGTCTCCAAAATGAAAACTAGGTTTGGGGAAGATAAACATCCGTAATTTATTGAATGCTCGAGGATTCCCCAAACCTCGAGCATTCCAAGCTACCAAACTCATGGCGACCGGCGAGGTTGCTCCACAACCTCCGCCGATATCGCAAGGTTGTTCAATACATCACCAAGCATAGGACGTTTTCAACAATTTCTATCATTCATAGCATCCCCCTCTTGCTTGAAAGCCACTTTCCTCTTTTCCGCACTTCGCACCCTCTTTTCCCAGCAGACCCCTTTTCCGAAGCCCTCTTCACCCCTCCCCACTATTAGCATCCAAATCTACAAGAAAAGTTGTATTAATCGACGCTAATAATTCTTGACGCTTTTATGTCGTCAGAAATATTCACACTTATCGAAGCTATTTTAAAAAGTTAGCGTCAGTAAGTTTATTTGGTCCATCACGTGGTAGACTTTGTTGACTAGAAACTTCATGACGCCTATAAACGGCGAGAAGTTTTTAGGAATTAAGTTTGCGATGCCATGTAGCATCGGAAACTTTTTTGAGAATTGAGAGTTAATTTTTTTGACGCTATGTAGGCATCGGGAAGTTTTGGGAGTTAAATTTGCGACAAGATTTAGAATATAATTTTTTGACGCTATGTAGGCGTCAAAAATTTTTTTAGGAATTACATCATACAATGTCGGGAAGTTTTTTGAGAATTAAGAGTTAATTTTCCGACGCTATGTATTAATCCCTAAACCCTCTTTTCCCAGCAGACCCCTTTTCCGAAGCCCTCTTCACCCCTCCCCACTATTAGCATCCAAATCTACAAGAAAAGATGTATTAATCGACGCTAATAATTCTTGACGCTTTTATGTCGTCAGAAATATTCACACTTATCGAAGCTATTTTAAAAAGTTAGCGTCAGTAAGTTTATTTGGTCCATCACGTGGTAGACTTTGTTGACTAGAAACTTCATGACGCCTATAAACGGCGAGAAGTTTTTAGGAATTAAGTTTGCGATGCCATGTAGCATCGGAAACTTTTTTGAGAATTGAGAGTTAATTTTTTTGACGCTATGTAGGCATCGGGAAGTTTTGGGAGTTAAATTTGCGACAAGATTTAGAATATAATTTTTTGACGCTATGTAGGCGTCAAAAATTTTTTTAGGAATTACATCATACAATGTCGGGAAGTTTTTTGAGAATTAAGAGTTAATTTTCCGACGCTATGTATTAATCCCTAAACCCTCTTTTCCCAGCAGACCCCTTTTCCGAAGCCCTCTTCACCCCTCCCCACTATTAGCATCCAAATCTACAAGAAAAGATGTATTAATCGACGCTAATAATTCTTGACGCTTTTATGTCGTCAGAAATATTCACACTTATCGAAGCTATTTTAAAAAGTTGGCGTCAGTAAGTTTATTTGGTCCATCACGGGGTAGACTTTGTTGACTAGAAACTTCATGATGCCTATAAACGTCGAGAAGTTTTTAGGAATTAAGTTTGCGATGCCATGTAGCATCGGAAACTTTTTTGAGAATTGAGAGTTAATTTTTTTGACGCTATGTAGGCATCGGGAAGTTTTGGGAGTTAAATTTGCGACAAGATTTAGAATATAATTTTTTGACGCTATGTAGGCGTCAAAAATTTTTTTAGGAATTACATCATACAATGTCGGGAAGTTTTTTGAGAATTAAGAGTTAATTTTCCGACGCTATGTAGGCGTCGGGAAGTTTTTGAGAATTGAATTTGCGACCCCATATAGCATCGGGAAGTTTTTTAAAATTTGAGATTTGTAATTTTCAAAAACTTCCTAATGTGCTAAGGCATCGGGAAATTGTTTTTTAAAGTAAAATAATTTTGGAAAAAAAATAACAAACTTCCCCACGAAATCAGGAAATTTTTTAACGGGAAAAAATTAAAAGAAATTCAATTTTGGATACAATCTTCAATTCCTAATACGACTCATTAAATGAAACTATAAAATAAAAATAACAATCTGATTTTTACTACTCTCTCCAGTATCAACTTTCTCCAAAAAATTCTCTCTCTTTCAAACTTCATCACTTTCTCCCTCAAACTCCCTTCTCTTTAACTGGGCGCTTCCAATAGATTGTGTGAGTATTTTTTTTAAAGTTAATGTTCTTTTATTATTATTGTAGTTATTGTTATTTGTATTTTTTATTGCCGAGTTGCATCATTGCCTAATTGATTGTGTTCGGAGTATGTAACTGGGGTTCGAGAGTTTATCTAAAGAGCTCAAAATTCACCTAATGTAAAAGGGGATATTAGATGCCCATGTCGTGATTGTGGTAATGTATACTGGTATCCGACAAGAATAGTTCAAGCTCATTTGATCGATAGAGGGATGCAAGAAATATATAAAAGAGAGACTTGGGTTTTGCATGGTGAAACTGTTAGTGATTCTCCTGCAGCTGAACAAGTTG